TAGCCTTTACGAACCCGCACTGACCAGCGTGGTGAAGCATCGTCACATAGCCCCCCACCCATCCACGACCTCAACGGCGTGGAAGAATCTCTCATCCAGCAGTGGAGTGACAGACGTTGTGCGTGTGCACGTTTTACACAGTCGCTAGCCATGTTGCGAGTTCAAATCCTGTTTCGGAAGATCGACTTAGTCCATCATAGCCCCCCGTGTCAAATAACTAACATAGGTACTTTGTGGAATGGCTGACCCAGCCATGGGATGTGGAATAACCTCTATATTGGCTCGACAGTGAGGAAATTTGAAATAAATAAAAATCAACATCGTCCAGTGGAAGGAGACACCGGCGGTCAAACAGGAAGATACAGAATTTAATTAAACTCAAACACATTCGTCAACGACACAATGGCCTTTAAAATAAAAATATAAATATAAAATTGGTGATGTTTCGGGCAATGGAACTTGATCATAGCTCACGGAGCTCACGAAAAAATAATGGCGTATATGGTCATTTGTGAAAAGTTAAGACGCGTTTGAGATTTGAAAAGTGCGGTTACCCATCACGACCACGGGGTGGCAGAGGCACGCCACACACGCGACCCGATCCTCCCGGGATCCCACGCGCGCTGCGGCGCGGGTCAAAGGTGCCGCGGTTTCCACGGCCGATGGAATCGGACCCGAGCCGTGCCGCGCCGTTCTTGGCCGCGCGCGGTTTCGTTTCATCACGCGAGCACTGCAGTTAGGGGCCATCCATAAATGACGTCACGCACCTAATGGGGGGGGGGGGGGGGGGTCAGATATTTGTGACGATGTGTGACGAGGGGGGGGGGGTGAGAAATGTGACGTCACATCAAAATGTGCAACTTTAAATAAATATAGACAACACGTTCTACTTAATTAAATAGACTTTTTAATAAATGTTTTCTCCTACAACATCAGAGTGCAGCGTCACATTAAATACGCACTACAATGACAATAGTTTAAAGCGATTTGAAGCATGTTTTTGGGGGGGGGGCAGAGCTTTGTGACGTCATATTTGAGGGGGGTCTGACTTTTTGTGACGCCGTGTGACGAGGGGGGGGGTGGGGGTCAAAATCGTCCAAAATTGCGTGACGTCATTTATGGACGGCCACTTAGCCATGCAGCTTTTCCAGCCTGGACCCTTCCCAGGTCGTTCCACACTCCACTCAACTCCACGGCAAGATGGACATATGTTGTACTTAAAAAAGATAATCAAGGTTTGTTTAATCCATGTTCAGAATAGGTAACACTATCCCGAGCTAAAGTATATATATATTTTTAAACGAAACTCTGAAGTTCATCGGAATTGGTTAAGGGTCATTCAGCGCATATATTGTTTCAGGTTGACTCAATCAATTGGGAACCAAGTTTAATCGTCCGTGGATAAAGCAGACGACGTGAATCCCGGATCTCAAACATTGTCCGGACATGGTATGAGCCCCTTGAGCCAAGCGGTTCGGTGCTTTTAAGGGCACGTTCACAAACATTACTAAGGAGCCACAATAAAAGTCTGCAAATAGCACATAGCAACCAAATCCAAGGACAGATTTTTTTTTTACAAAAAAATTATTACGAAATATTTGCCAGTTGATAATTGCTTTTTTACCCTTCTATCTGGCAACAAAACTGACACCTTTTTACAAGGAGTCATGTTTGCATAGACCGCAATACCTGCAGTCATAATACAAACAAAAACATAACTCTGATAATGTGCACTATCCTTGAAGTTGATTGGTCCACACCCGAGGCAGCTTTCCTTAGAGCCTAGTCTCACATGGGTTGGACCAGATGACGCCAAAAGGTGTCAGTTTTGTTGCCAGATAGAAGGGTAAAAACCAATTATCATATTTTTACTGGCAAATGAGGTTCCCATAGTATTTGCCAGTTGTTTTAGGTGCACAGTACAGTGCTTCAACAACGATATCACAGTCGAGCATTTCCAAAGCCTCGTAGATTATCTTCGACATGCATCAACCAGTATGATTATTGATATAACACTGTGTAACGAAAAAAAAAGTTTTTGTTCCTGGGTAGTAAGTGTTATTTCCTAATTGCATATTTCTCAAAAGTACAGAAAATGGCTATTATTCCCCACAAACTTTGCTTTTGTGACCGGGACAGTGATTTTGAAATGTACCTATTTTTAAAGAGAAAACGTGGTGTGCATTTGTCTCATTCCTTCACGTAAAGTCCTGGTCACAAAAGCAAAGTTTGTGGGGAATAATAGCCATTTTCTAGTCGTTTTAGGCATAAGCAATTAAAAAATAACACTTAGTACCCAGGAACATGCATAGTCCCATGGGATGTTGGCTACCAACAACAAGGCAACTCCTATGACTAATTGGGAATGGGACGCAAGCGTAGGATTGATCACCCTGTCGCTGGCCGCCTTTGGGGAGGGTGTATAGTATGAAAGGCCGAAACACCCTAGGAACCAAAGGGTCACTACTGACGATGCGCTCCCCAAATTTCACCAGGCTCACTGTTCATGAACTCTTGGAAGTGCTTGCACAAAGGATAGTAACATCTCATCCTGTGTTCTTTGGAATATGTGTTACATAGTGTAATTCGAGGGCGAATATGTATGTACGGTAAACTTCTTTCGCAGATCGAACGTAGCCAACCGTGCTAACCGGAGGTGCGGGAAATATAACTGCATTGGTATGAAAAGGGTAACTTCCCCCGCTTCTAAATGTAAACTCGGCGTATGATTAAGACGTTGATCCTGCACCGCACAGGATCTTCCTCTCCTCTGCTGCCTCCGACCGCCCGTCTCTCTCTCTTCTCAATAATGAAGCGTCTTTATTCTCACTTACGAGAATAATGGCATCTCAATCCCCCCCACCCACCCACCCACTGATTAACATCACCATCAATTCTGGCTGTAATTAAACAAAATCATACCAAAAAAAAGTACCCTCTTCTGCAAACCTCCACGGAAGCGCGCGCACTTCCCTTTCACCTCCGCGAAACGCCGAGATGTCGTTACGTTGAAACAATGCGTACAATCAGTGGCAATGTGTCTCAAACCCAACTATTTCTGTAAATCATCGTTAAACCTCCATCAAAACAGGGGAATGCGTGCGGGATGGAAACAATTAGATTCAACGGCACGCACAAATGTGCTCACAAAAAGTGTGACAGCACGTGTTACGTGACCACCACATTGCATGTCCAATGCTCTCAGCCTTGTCTAGACCACCAACTCAAGAAATTGAACAACACACAAAGGTGCGCTCCTGCTCACAAACAACGTGAGGGCACGTGGCTCCCACCCATACGCCTTGCGTGTACAATACTAGCCTCATGGAAGCCACGAACTCCGAAGAGCCAAACGTTATTATTTGTTTAGGCCGCAGGCTCAAAAGGTGTCGAAACACATGGCCTTCACAAGGTTTATCTGTGAAAGGAAGAGTCGCTGACGACTCGAGGAGGAGTCGGTTGGTTGGAGTGTGCTTCCACGTGCGGCTGATGAACCCAGCGGCGCGCAAGTACAGACACTTACACGCGCGCGCCGCGCTGCGTAATTGTACGATCCACTGTGCGAAGATGGGGCGACGTGAAAACGGCTGAAATAGGAGCCCGCGTTCAGCACAAACTCCGACTGAAAGGAGAGCCGCGTGTTGCTGATGAGCCAATAACTCACCCCCCCCCGCCGCCCCATCTCCCTCTAAAACGTCCACGCATCGGATACGATCATCACCACCACCACCATCATCATCATCAGTTCACGTGCAACGTTCGCAAAAAGTTGCCCTACGACGCAAAACACCGCAGGTGACGTTCGACGTGGGGGCCGCTGCACGGCTCTCCGAGGCGGGGCTCTTCGGCTCTCGCACCGGCGCGAAGGGCCGATGTGTCGAAGCGTTTCTCAGCGCCCGGACACGTGCGGCGAAACGTCGGGCACCGTCGCCCCGGCAACACGCCGGTACTGCGAGCCGGACGACTCTGGCACGCGTGGGGCTTTTGCCGACGGGTGCCAAAATCGTCAAAGGTCAACGCCGCGTGCGTGGGTCACGGTGCATTCATTGGCAAGGGCAAAATGTTGACCTCAAAGCAGTCGCTCTTGAAATATCGGTGACTTTGTATCACGCTTGTTTTCCCTCCCTCCTAATCATTATGAGTATGTTAACAACTTAATTGCGTAATTGGCCAAAAAAAAAAAACACGTGCAAAGTGGAAAATGCTAATTAGGCCCAAGATGAAAAAAAAACACCTCTGGCGTGGCTTCGCGGGCGCCTGTATTGTGCGTCAAACTCTCTGTGCCGCCAGCGCACATCGGGCACCGCTAAATTATTGATGGCTCCTGAATAATGCACGCGTTGGAGGCGCGACATCTATAGTTAATGCGTCTCCGGGGGGCGGCATTCGCCGCACGAGATACGGAGCTGAGCGTGCATGGCAAAAGCCAACCGCCCAAAGTCATCATCAACTAAGTGGTGATCATGACGATCATTGTTACTGAGACCAGGAGCAACAACGTGATGATCATCGGCATCACCGTCATCACCTCATCATCATCACCACCCACACGATGATCTTCAATCATCATAATCATCATCACCACCACCAATGAAACCACCACCACCAACGCCATCATGTATCTATGTATGTGATAATCGGAGGTGCGGGGGAAGGACAACGAACTAAACACACGCAAAAATAACATCCACTGCAAAGGTCAATTGATCATCATCACCACCATCATCACCAACACGAGTGCACGCCACCTCATCTCGACGACGACTTCTGCCGCGTAACACAATGGGGGCAGGCGAACAGTTTCCATACCGAGGGGCCTAATGGGGCATCCGGATACCTCCAAGCGAGCCTCAGCGTCGTACAATCACAACGCACACATGAACGCGCAGGCACGAAAAGGGCATTGCAGTAACAGAAGCGGCCAAACGAATATCACAGCGTGCTCGAGCCAGATTGACAATATCACCCCCCACCCACCCACTCCTCCTCCCCCCGCCCGCTTGTACCCGATTAGTGCGGCTCAGACGCTTCGCAAGTGGCGAATAAATATACGTCGCGAGCCGTGTCCGAGTGGCCGTGGACTTTTACCAACCACGAAGTCGCCTGCCACGTCCTGACACGCGGGGGCCATCGGCTTCACTGCTTTCCGTGCAGGAACGAGCCAGCCAGCGCGTACTCGGCCACATTTACATCCATAATGCAGGTGGTTTCTAAAATCCTTTATATTAAGTTCGCTTGCTTGCTTAGGACCGTGCAAATCTTTCGGTCGTTTTTTTAACCCACTTCCCGTGATCCAATCGAGCTGACATTTTCCACACAGACTCGTTGTGCGTGACAATTAATGTTCGTGAAATATTTTTTTCCAAAATTTTACACTTTTTAGGACAAAAATATTATTTGTAATTTCCAATTGCTTAATGGTGGCAGGCAATCATCTGACCCATAGGTGGCAGCCATCTCAAGTCAGAGGACGAGATGACTCTAGCCGCCACGCATATAAAGGATTTATAGTGAAAAACTTTGTTTTTACGGGTTAAACTTGTTTTTTAGTTGGGGTTAGATCGCGTAAATATATAAATGTGTCAGAGCTTGAATTAAAGATTTCGTGACTGCGGGAATTCATATTCTTGGGTCTTTTGGTGAAGTCACGGAGATAGGTTATTTTCACCGAAAGACCCAATAATATAACTATAAATGTGTCGTTAAACCCGCCACCGCCCGACACAGCCAATTAGTAAGGTTTGTCACGTAAACAGAACGGCCCAATTCGTTACGAGTACAGCACTAACCGGTGTGTTGGAGATCAAAGCCGCAATGTTTATAATCAGAGTACGAAGTTTCGACAGCAATTTCGCTGGTCGCGAAGGCCTCCGTTGTGCACTCACATTGACATCAGTTTAACACGTAGCAGGCTTTCGCGACCAATATTATTCATAATCAACGTTTTTGGGTTTAGATCGCGTTATTTATAAATGTGTTGTAACCCTCCCTTGTGGTTTCACGCTTCAACAAACCGGTGGGCTAAAGCAGCGAACTATTTGTCTTTTGTCAACGTGACATTTTTTTGCTGATTGGCCGTTTCGGGTGGTGGAGGGTTTCGACACATTTACAAATCACGCGATCTAAACCCAAAAACGTTGATTATGAATCACATTGAAATCGTTCGCGTCGCCGCGTGCATTGGCGGCTCGAGCGGAGATGTTGCTCATTACAGGTCGTGACGCGGGCCCTATTTTGGGCACGGCTCCGTTCTCTGCGTGACTCATCCGTGGTGCGTTAAAAAAAAAAACTAATTACGGAAACAACAAAGAAAGAGAGAAGCCAATTAACACGGCCGCTCATCGACACGAGAGGCGTTGGGGTTTTATTTTTGGTGTTAGATTCACGGCCGGCAGTTTGACGGGCGCCGTCAAACAGCTGACTGCTGCACATGGCCACGTGTTTATCGCTTTACGATCCCGGAGATGGTCGTAAAGAGGTCGGACCATGAACGTCAGACTTGGATCCGAGGTTTAGGCCACCCGCATTTATGTTTCATTCGTTGCTCTGTCCGGCGTTGGCCGTAGGAGGCGCGGTCGTCGAAACGGAGGGGTGTACGGGTCTCGGTATCAAACCGAATCATCCTGCAGCAAGCCCATGTTCACTGACACACACACACACAAAGACAAAGTCCCCCGTGTAGCCTTTAACAGACTGTTGGGGCAAGTGCTGTTAGCGAGCACCAATGAAGGCCGGCACTGTGGCACGCGAGGGGGTGGGTGGCCAGCACCACGCCCGGCCGCCTTTGTCTCCCCAGTGCTGATGTTTACACCCCGCACCAGGTACTCATTTAAGGCTGAGACAATCAAGAGGAAAGCCCAGGACCGGTTCAAACATTCACCACTGTTGTTGCTTGTGAGTGGAAATTGAACTCGGGTTACCGGGTTCATAGTGCAGTGCGCTAACCATTGTGCCACCGCTCCCTGCTCACACACAATCCTATCACCCTCAAAATCATTGCCCGTACCCCCCCCCCCCAGCCCCACATCGTGTACGGCGTAGAGATGAGAGCCTCCCCTCGCCGTGCATGCCTTACTTGACCATACTTCACCAACCTGGTCAGTGCGGGTTGGTGAATGCGGTGGGGGGTTGACGTTGGGGCATAGCAAGAGTACAACAGTTGACTTTGCGGTACCTGCGTGCCCCGGCAGCAGCCTATAATAGCACCCCTGTTATGCACGCTGTTCGCTCGTTCAAGCGCTATCCGGGCTCAACGCTCGCTTCATCTTTTCGAGGTCTACGCAGGGACGAGTTGGTCACTCGCAGGGAAGAAGCAGGGAAACCCGGGCCAAGAGCCTCCACCCGCCGCCCCGCCGGCACCGCTCCGTCAGGCGCTCCGCAATGCCCGGAACGATTCCTCATCATCGCGTGGCGATGCCCAGGCGAGGTTGCCCAACCTCTGGGTAAATGTTGAGTGGTCGGAGCCTCTCTCTGTGGGAGGGGGGGGAGGGGGGTGGAGAGAGTTGGGAGGGGGGGACATGGGAATGGCTAAAGTCGTCATGGATTTCAGTCCTCAGTCCATGTCTCCGTGTCTCTCCCCGTGCCTGTGTTTCTGTCTCCGTCAATGAATATGAACAATCTGTAAACCCTGCGCTGCCGCCGCGCAGTATCCGCTCGCTGTCGGAGGAGAATTTAGAGGTGCGAGGAGGAACAACGGACGAGCGGTGCAGAGCTCGTGTCAATACATGTCAACAAATCTTTGGGTCATGACTTGCTGTGCGCGTTTTCTTGTCGAGGGAGCACAGGTCAAGACATGACTTGATTTGTGTCGTTTTCTTGTTGTCTTACCCCAGGGCACATATGCCCCGCCCACTACGTTGTGCCGCAGGAGCGCTTGTGCCACGCCCATTTTTGAAACCTTTAAAAACGGTTGCCTTCGGTGATCTTCCCCCTCTTTCCTCCTGAAGACGATCGCTTGTGTTGTTATTGAAACGTCGTGGTTTTTGTTTTTTTTATAATTTTATTTTTATTACCGAAAGAACCAGAATAAGTCGACATTATAGACTGCCAGTACGCTCACTTTAGGTTAAGAACCAGGCTACAGTCTACATTATAGACTGACAGTACTCTCACTCAGTTTAATAACCATTGCTACAGTCTACATTATAGACTGCCAATATGCTTACCAAGCCTAAAAACCAGGCTACAATCTACATTATAGACTGCCAGTATGCTCACTGAGGTTAAGAACCAGGCTACAATCTACATTATAGACTGCCAGTACACTCACCCAGCTTAATAACCAGGCTACAGTCTACATTAGTGTTTTTTAATTTTTATTATTATTTTTTTATTTTATTTTTATTCACTTTTTTTTCTATATACGTGACTTTACCGAAAGAACCAAAGAATATGAGGTCCTTTTTATATTCATGTAAGGATTTATGTAAGTACGTAGTCGACCGTGCTAATCGGAGGTGCGGGATGATAAGGTGTTCTCGGCCAATCGATGAGCGTTTACATGTGGGAGGAAACGGCAGCGCCCGGAGAAATTCTACGCATGCGTGGGGGAAACACTCGATCCCAGTATTTTTCCTTGCAAGGCCCACGGGCTACTGGCGGCCGCCCGGTGGCCTCTAGTGCGGCCCCTGACGTACGGCCCACCGACAACACACAAATGGTGACAACAACCCCCATCATCATCATTATCGTGCTGCTGTCAAACCCCAAATGGTTTCAAATGTGTGGCGGCCCTCACACTGATGATGTCTTATCGGTGAAAGGGCCTCTCTATCACCCCCCCACCCAAAAAAAGTATGAAAAACACTGCTCTATCCCATACAGACAGAACAGGCTGAAGCCCGCACTTTGTTGTACCGCCGAAGTCTCGCAACGTGCGTGTGCGGCCCACCAACCCCGGGCGGGGCGGAGCGGCGCGGTGCGCATTCTACGCACCGCATGTACTTGTCCCACTCCAGGTCGGCCAGGTATCGACGCGAGGACGAGGAGGGGGTCGCGTTGGCGCGAGAGGCCGGCGGTCGGGCGGGCGTCCTGGGGTTGTAGCGGCCCGGACCGACGGGGTTCTGATCCGGGAAGCGAACGCGGTGAGGGGGCAGGGGGTGGCGGACAGAGATTTCCGTTAATTTACACGAATCGATCTCAGCATCACACGTCAGACAGAAAGCAATGATTTAGTAACCACAACTTTCTCTCCAGGGTGCAGAATCTGATGGTGTCCTAAGTGGGTTTTGCCTGCGCCACGCCTGGCTTCAGGGAGGGCAAGGCACCTGGCTGCCCATGAAGAGGCGGTCCGAGCGGGAGTTGAACCGCGCCGAGCTGCTGAGGAAGGGAGGCTGGGAGGCGCTCCGCACTTCGCGCGCCTCCAGGTTCACGTCGTAGGTGCCAGGCCCGGGCCAGCTCTGCGGGTCTCGCGAGGGAGGGCACGCACACAGGGGAGGCCGAAACAGGAGGACTCAAGACCGAGGACTTCTTCACAATTTGGCCCAATCGCCTGATGAAGCTGGTTGTAATCACGGGCGAAACATCGTACTCGAATTGTTTGGACTTCTTGCGCACCGTACGTAGCCAACCGTGCTAATCGGAGGTGCGATGTTGTGGGTTTACTCTTCAACACACTGGTGTGCCGAAGTAGCATCTAATTGGCACATCAACATCCCCGTTAGAGCCGCCAATGCAAGCGCGGCGCAAACGATGTCAGTGTGAGTTTAAACACGTAGGCCTTCGCAACCAGTATAATTGCTGGCGAAACGTCGTACTCAGATTGTAAACGTTGCGGCTTTGCTCTCCAACACACTGGTTAGTGCTGTACGAGTAACGAATTGGGCACGTTCTGTTTACGTGACAAACCTTACTGATTGGCTGTGCCGGGTCGTGGCGGGTTTAATGACACATCGATATATTTACGCAATCTAACCCCAAAAAAAATTAACCCGTGACAACAAAGTTTTTCACTATAAATCCTTTATATGCGTGGCGGCTAGAGTCCTCTCGTCCTCTGGCTTGAGATGGCTGCCACCTATGGGTCAGATGATTGCCTGTCACCATTAAGCAATTGGTAATTAAATATAATACATTTTTTCCTAAAAAGTGTAAAATTATAGAAAAAAATTATCACGAAAAGAAATTGTCACGCACAACGAGTCTGTGTGCAAAATGTCAGCTCGATTGGATCACGGGAAGTGGGTTAAAAAACGACCGAAAGATTTGCACGGTCGTAAGCGCGCAAGCAAGCAAGCAAAGTGAACTTAATATAAAGGATTTAAAAAGCCATTCTTTATCATGGATAATATTGGTTGGCGAAAGTCCACGTGTTAAACAGACAGGGGAGCTCAGAACTCAGTTGTGGTGGGCCTGAAGGCCACTGCTAGCCCATATCCACATAGCCACGCCCATGTCCATATAGCCACGCCCACACGATTGCTAGCCCTGCCACACGCAGCGAGCGGTCTTCCTATTGGGGCTCTTCGTGATGTCGGCTCCGCCTACCGTTCGGGTAGCCCCGCCTACTAATTAGTTGGCTCCGCCCTCTGCCCGTATCGTGGATTGAACTACCGAGGCCAGATCATTTACGTGAAAAACGTGGGGGACAAAATCCAAAGTTTTTGATAAATCTTTTGACACGAGGGAGTCTAGGGGGGGGGGGGGGGCACATTTTATGAAATCGGAACTGTCCTGGCCAATGCAGGAGGTTTGATAGCTCTGTCTGCTGTGAGGACTGTAGCCGATGATGCAACAAGCTCGGCAATTACCCAGATGGGTTACCTAAGAGCCCAGCCTACGGAAAACAGGGCTGCAGTCCAATTCGAGCAGAAGCGAGGGCTGTTTGATTCAACACTGGAACTCTTCCAATCCCTACAACTGGTCATAGGGGACCTGTTTGGCCACATTCAAATAAAAAATAATGGACTGCACTGGCAGGATTTTGCAAACAAAAATGAACTCCACCTTTGTCATTCATACTGCTTTATAGCAGAAACAAAATTAAACATAATCAACGTTTTTGGGTTTAGATCGCGTTATTTATAAATGTGTCGTAACACTCCACCACCCGACACGGCCAATCAGTAAAAAAGTGTCACGTTGACAAAAGACAATTAGTTCACTGCTTTAGCCCACCGGTGTGTTGAAGCGTGAAACCAGAACAATTTACAATTTGAGTACGACGTTTCGCTGGTAATTGCATCCAGCATCATCGGGCAATTTGTTAAATTTGTTAAACTAACAAAATTAAAAATAGGCTGTTCTGAAAAAAAATATGGTAATCAACAAAAAGCTGTCCTGTCTGCCATTTGTCCATCTTTCTGTCTATCCATCTCTATATCCTGCCTTTCAACTGTCTTTGCATGTCTCTCCGTCCATACATCTATTTGTACGTCCATTCGTTTGTTCACATCACTCCATCCGTTCATTCACCAGTTTATCACCTGTCTATCTGTGGGTCTGTACATCCGTTTGTCTTTACGACAGTCGGTCAGTCCCTTCATCTGTGTTTCCAGCCATCAGTCCATCGGTCCGTCCTTCCATATCACCTTCATTCTGTTTGCCCATCTGCCTTTCCATTTGTCTTTGCATTTGACTGCCCGTTTGTGCATCCATTCATTCGTCCATCCACCGGTCCAAATGTTTGACAATACATTCGCTTGCCCATGCTTTCATCCACTGCTCCATCAATCGCTCTGCCGGTCCCGTGGGAGTCCAACGGTGCCGATACGGCACGGCAGATGACCGTCCCGGGTCGTGCAGCGGCGTCGTTGGGCGCGACGTGCGACGTTAAGCTCCACGTGCCGGCGGAAACTTCTCTCGCGGAACCGAATCGACGCGCGCCCCGAACAACACGCGGCACAACCCAACGACGGCGTCGCGCGTGCGCCGATCGCGGTGCGGCCCGGTTACCGGCTCCCGGCGGCAGTGGGCCGGCGCGTCCAGGCACAGGCGCAGGCCGGGCCGCGCGTTGGGGCCGGGCTCCGGGGCGAAGCGGCCGCTCCTCGTCCTGGCGGCCAGCGCCTCGGCCATGGATGGCTGGGGGCAGCCGCGGGGGCCCGACCACAGTGACTCCTGAGATTGACGGAGAGGAGAGGGGAGCGCGGTGGGGGGGCGGGGGGGGGGGGGGGAGATGTGAGCAGGGAGCGGGGAACGTGGGGACTCACGGAGGGATCGATTTTTGGAAGTGTGCTGGGAGTGGGGAACACGAATGGCACCGATGCGTGTGGCGTGAGGCTCTGCTCGGGGAGTTGAGGCCAGTGGATGACGCTCCAAGCCATTGGCAATAATGCACTCCCAATGGTGACGACGATGATGATGATGATGGTGCATTAAAATGTTACGGATAATTCCTGGACTTGCATCACACCTCATCTGACACGTTTCAAAAAAGGGCACCCCGCAGTGGCAGCTGTCCCTATTCGGCACAAGTTGCCGCAGCGCCTGGCCTGCAAGCGGGCATCAGTCTGCCAGCGGGGGGGGGGGGGGGGGGGGGGGGGGGGCGATGATTGTCGCTCTGTGTGACATCCCGATTGGGTAAAAAGCGGGGTCATTTCTCCAAAGTGCAGAATCGGGTGGCTACTGGACGTCTGTGAAAAAGAGCTTCATAGCTCATCGGATTCCTCCAGCTAAAAATAAACATTCTGATCCTCAGGAAAACCTTTATCATCAACTGCGAGCGCGCTTCGTGCCACTTCACAGTTAACACAAAACCGCAGCATTAACCAGGGCGGCCCGAACGGAATAGAACCGCGAACCTCCGCTACGAGCGAGAAACGCAGCTGCCGCTTGTGTACCACGTCGCCGGCTACTCCAGCGGATGACGGAGGGCATCCCCCTCCCGTGGTTCTCACCGGTGCCGCGAGCCACCCGGTGCGCACGGGGTCCGTGCGTCGGCCCGTGAAGAGGTCGTACGGACCGCGCGCGCTCACGACCCGTGCGGCCAACTCGTCCGTGAAGCTCCTGTATTCATGGGTCCCCGGGCCCAATCCGCTGCCCTGCGCGTTCACACAAAGACAAAGATCCCCCGTGTAGCCTGTTGGGGCAACTGCTGTTGGCCAGCAGCGCCTATGAAGGCCGGAACGTTACATGGTGGGGGGGGGCAGCACTACTCCCGGCCGACTTTGTCTCCCCAGTGGCTATGTTTACACATCGCACCAGGTACTCATTTGAGGCAGAGTCGACCTAAGGGAGGCCCAGGACCGGTTCAGGTACGTGAGCGGGGATCGATCCCGGCTCGCCGAATTCGTCGCGCTAACCACTACGCTATCGCTCCCCCAACACAAACAAACCCCCAAAGATCTCCGGTATAGCCTTAACAGACAACACACACATACACAAGTTAGAGACGTCGAATTGTCTTTAAATCAAAGCAGCACGGGGGCGTTGGGAGGGCGCGCGTCACGGCCATGAAGGGACGGCGGGCGGCGGTCGAGACGGACGCCGGAACGGCAGCGGAGATGGAGCGACAAGACCGCTTCTCGCCTTGCAGGAGCTGCATGGATTGCCCGTCGCATCTCGGGAACCATGAGAGACAGGCGGCGACTTGGGGGGGGGGGAGGAAACGCCTTCATCCAGCGGTGGATAGCTCATGGCTGACGTTGACGGTGGGGCGATAGAGAGGGGGCCCCAGCGTGACCCCACGTGACCCCACGCACCGTTTCGGGGGTGCCGCGGTTGACGGTGCTGCTCAACTCCATGGGGCCGCGCGAGGATGGATGGTGGGCCCACGCCGCTCCCGGCCGCACGTAGGAGCCCGGACCAGGAGTCGAACTCTGCGGGAATTTTTACCCACACGGTGAGCGTCGCCGCGATCGCACGGCTACGCGTTGCGATCGTCGATTTTGTATTTTTTCTCTCTCTCTCTTTTGGCGCATCCGCAGCGGAAAATGCGATTCCCCCATCTCATCTCCCGTCGTTCAGTCGTTGGCAGAGGAAAGGAGGAGGAAGATCTTTATCCTGGACTTGCAAATACTTACACAGACACTACAGACTTGCATAGAGATCCATAGACTTGGACAGAGACCCGTAGTATATCTATGAAAATGACTTTCAAGCTTCGTAGTTTGAACCGATGAAGGTGGTGGTAAGGATTTTTTTAAATATTTAATTTTCTCAATGCCACGCTGTGTCCCGAGAGGTGACGTGCGACGATGGAGACGCGTAACGAGTTGCGATGTAAGCAGCAGGCAGCTGTTGTGACGATAAACAAAGCCACGCTGGAATTTACGACGGGAGTCGCCGCTGGCACGATCATCATCACATCACGGCGCGTGAGCGGTCGACGGGCTCGCAACGTTATTTACTGCGTCAGCAAACCGCTGACGTGCACCGCTTCACCTTGGCAAAAGTTCGTTCACGTATGAATTCAAGTTGTTTCCTGCCGAACGAGCCTGATGATTGGTAAACAAGCCCAACGTGACGCAGAGTGTTGGAATAAAAAGAAGGCGCTCTATCCTCAACTTGAATCGGAGCTCTCAGCGTCACGTGGCACACAAGGTCAACACCATCGCAAGGTCTCCTTCGCGTAAAAAAAATAAACGGCCCACGGAAGTGGATAACACAGAGCTTCCTCTGAAATTCCTGCAAGTGAACCTCTGTTTTACAAAGTAGGGAGCAGCACTTGACCACTCGTCTTTCCCACCGAGAGTAATGGTCGTCGCACGAGAGTGTCGCCAATATTTGTAATTCTCTAATTTTTTTATTTTGCCAAAATGCAGATTACAATTCAACGTTACGGGTTTGTTTTTGTGTGTGCGGTCATTGGTGGCTGTGCTGAGGACATCAACTCGCCACATCTGAGGACCAGCTTTAATCAGAGGCGGCTGCCTACTTGGATTCAAACCCAGGGTCTCGGTGGTGCAGGCTCAGCCCTCTTAGGCCCCCCGGTCACCTCCTACTCCACATCATCAACGTTAATAAAAAGACGCCAGGACACGATTTTCCTTTAGAGTCACACCAAAAGTTGCGTGTGCATACGATGAGCGGAGCGCCGGGCGGATAAGCGCAGCTAGTTGGCACAGTAGGGGGAGGGGGGTACAGCTGGTGCATGTGCCAGCCATCTCGGTCAGTGAACCCATGGCACCTGCTGCGTCTGTTCCGTAATCTCCTATCAGCGGTGCCATCGAAACTTCACGTGGCCTCAAATCGCACCTAGCATGGCACAAGCGCCGTGGTGACGTCACCGCCACTGAGTGGTGAACGGCGGTTGTTGGTTGTTTCATCGGTTAGGGTTATTATTTGTTGTTGTTGTTATTGCGAGGCTGTCAAACTTCGGTGAGGATTCGCTCACCTTGCCGATGTTCAAGAAGCGCTCCTCCAGCGTGTCGCACACTCCCCTCCGACTCGATGGTTTCTCCCGCTCCAGGTCAATGAAGTCCTTTGTGTCATAGATCCCAGGGCCTAGCCTACTTTTCTGAGGGGGGCGTGGGGGGGGAGGAGTGGAGAAATATATGGGGTGGAGTAGAGGAGAAGCTGGAGAGAACAGAGCAAGTCGGAGCGTGGCTACTTGTGAAAGTGGCAGCAACAATGTCCTGGAGCAACCAGGGAAAATTCGCCGAGGAGTCTCGGGGGCTCATTCTTTGCAGGTTGGACTTTCATCCGTCCACGAACCCCTCCGGACGAGTACCTGGGTTCGCTCCTTCTCCCAGGCCTCGCGGTGTCTGAAGTGAGGTATCCGGGCCGACCGGGACAGCTCCACCTCGCGTGCCCAGCCCGGCCCGCTAGCCCGTCGAGAAACGGCCCGCACGCCGAACCCTCCGGAGCCCTCGGGGTTGTAGCGCCCGGGACCCAGTGCCCTGACCTAGAGGAGTTGGGGGGGGGGGATGCGTCAAGCCAGAGTCGTTTGCCTTCGTCGTCGTCATCAGCAGCAGCATAAACAGCGGTAGCATCGTGATAATTGTTTTTTTACCCTTCTATCTGGCAACTAAACTGACACCTTTTTACAAGGAGTCATGTTTGCATAGACCACAATACCTGCAGTCATAATGCAAACAAAAACATAACTCTGATATTTACACCATTGGAACCTCATTTGCCAGTAAAAAATATGATACTTGGTTTTTTACCCTTCTATCTGGCAACAAAACTGACACCTTTTTACAAGGAGTCATGTTTGCATAGACCACAATACCTGCAGTCATAATGCTAACAAAAAACACAACTCTGATAATGTATGCACTGTCCTTGAAGTTGATTTGTCCACACCCGAGACAGCTTTCCTTAGAGCCTAGTCTCACATGGTGTTGGATCAGATGACGCCAGATAGAAGGGTAAAAAAACAATTATCATATTTTCACTGGCAAATGAGGTTCCAATGGAGCGGTAGCATCATTAGCGCCACCTCTGATTAGCACGGTGGGCTGCGTACGGTGCAATTTTTTTCTTCAACGCAGTACAAATATATACTCCGTGGCGATGGGAGTAGGGTGGCCACCTCTGCGTTTGGCACGGAGAGTCTAGGAATTGGCATCTGCATTGGTGCGACCGCGATCGATTTACACGGAGACCCGCGGTGTTGTGTCGAGCTTTTATCGCTGGAGATTGCAGAGTGTTGACAATAGACCGAGTGCCGACATGACAAACACGTCCACGATGTCGGGGGGGGGGGAGGGGGGGAGAAGGTAACAATCCGACAATGTCAGGATTGGGTTGCTTCCCGCTGGGACCCCATGAGTCCTGGGAAGCCACTCTCTGTCATCATCACCTCCTCATCCTCCTCACCTGGTTGCTCATGGTCTGCGAGCAGTAGGGGGCCTCTGTGTAGGTGCCGAGTGGCTTCAGCTGCGGATGAATTCCAGAGACGTTGAACCTTGATCGGCGTTGCGCAGGAGGGGACATTGAGGGATGTGTGCCGGTCGAGACGGACGGTGAATTAGAACGCGTGATACAGTATCTGTATTGGCAGTGGGTGCACAGGCATTACTAACGAAGTGCACACACACACATCGTTTTCGATTCGTCTCCCTTCCTTGCACTCTGCCACTGGAATAAACTTCCCCTCTGCAATTAATTCCCCCTCCTTTCGTTCCTCTCTTGAAGCCTCACCTCGTTTCCATCGACCATTCTCTTCCTACTCTTAGTTCTTTCGGTAAAGTCACGTAGGTAAAAAATGAAATAAAAACTAATAAAAATAAAACAATCAAAATCACGACGTTTCGGAGGCAACACAAGTCTTCGTCATCAGGTGGGACCGTCACAGCCAGATTTGCTGCTTCACTTGATGCCTCCGAAACGTCGTGATTTTTATTGTTTTATTTTTATTAATTTTTATTTCATTTTTTACCTACGTGACTCTACCGAAAGAACTAAGAGTACGAATCATTGCAGTCACGAAAGCTTAAAATCTAGAATCATTCTCTTCCTCTTCCTTCACCTCGCCACGGCACTCCGTCCCGACCCTCCCCTAGAGCCCTCTCGTGACCTCCACGCGTGCCCTCTGTTACGGTCACTCATTCCTGGGCCCTTGCACTGCCATCTAAAATCACTCGACTTTTTTTGTTACCGCTTTTAAACGATGCCATCGGGCGCATTGAGCCGAGACACTCTATAAATATCAAATAAGATAAAATCGTGAACGTTGCCTGAACAATACAAATAACAATTACGATACGTGACATTCCAGGCAATTGTATTCAGCAAATCTTGTGAATGGCAATCGATTCGAGTGTGACACAGGAAAGGCCACAATGACACCGTTTACAACTGATACGAAATTTGAGAATGAGGCTTGGACCGGATGCGTCACGGCCTAGAAGGGGGGATGGTGGACACAGATCAAGGAGGGAGTGGCAGAGAGAACGTCCACCGTGAAAGAGATGGAGCAATGAAATCGGCTCGTGTGCCGGCGCTGGGCGGTTTTTTTGGTGCCGCGCACCTGGCCACGGAAAATCATGGAATGTCAGCACCTGGGCCCGGGCAAGGCGATACAAAATCAACGCCTGTGTATACACGCGACTGAGGCGGGCGTCAGTGAGCGCATACAGGAGAGACCGAGATATGGGTGACATAACATTCCTCCCTATACCTGATACCTGTGAAACGAGACGTCAGTAGCCGATACAGGTGAGATTTAAATTGCGTCAGTGCCTGAATAACAGGTGAGATTTGAGGGTGTCATTACATGGATACAGGTGAGGTTGGTACAGGTAAGATGACGCTACGGCAGCACCCAAATACAGGTGGCATTTGAGTCTCAGTTCCCGGATACAGGTGAGATTTGAGGGCTTCCAGTACCTCGATCCAGGTGAATTTAAGTGACATCAGCGTCCGTACCTGGATACTGGTGAGATGCGAGGGCATCAGCAAGCCAGACGCAGGCGATATGAGCGCGATGTCAGTAACTGGAGGCAGGTGATCGAGTCGTCAGCATCCGAACACAGATTCGAAAAACACCTCTGTTACCTGGCCGTTGCAGAACCGAATGGGGCACCGTGGAATCCCACGCCGGACATGGCTGCGGCTCTCCCCGTGCTCTCGCCGGGGGTTCTACTGCCTCGGCAGAGCGCGAGAGTGCGGGCGGAGTGCGCGATTTTATTTGTTCTTGACTGCGTTTGTTTCTTCTGGTGTAATTTGCCGGCTGGTCGCTGGGCAACACGAAGCCCCAAAGAAATGCGGGGGGCAAGCGGCATTGGCCCGGAGCTGGCACACGGCGGGGCTCAAGCGAAGGCGAGCGCCCACTCGTTCAGCGGTTGCAACAACGGTAACTACAAACTATTTTTTTTGTTACCAGCTAAGGCCCCAGTGAGCAACGTACCTCTTTGTTTTTCGTTCCAGGAGCGACCCCGGGCTATCGCAAATGATAGCTCGAAGTGGCTTGCTGTGTGGAAATGTATAGCGGCCAAATATGCGTGACGTTGATTCTAAATGTGGAGGTAAAAACCCGGAGGACTCGGAGAAAAATTCACGCGACCACAGGGAGAGAGAGAGAGAGACCCACACACAGACTCCAAATAGAGAGGCATCAGGCTCGGGATCGAACCAACGACTTCCTGCATACCAGGCGAGGTAGTGAACATCTCCTCGCCACCTTGGCAAGATGTTAACTCGCCACTGTGGCGAGATACGTGATCGGCCAAGATCTATCCACTGCTGGATGAATATCTTCCGTGGCCATCTCTCTCTCTCTCTCATGAATCCTGTGACGTCACAATCCACCCGGCACCAGCCTGCACGCCAGCTGCTTTATTATAAGGGGCGAGTTTACTTTTTTGGTTTTACCACAGTTGCTGAGCACAGGTCTAAAGGTCCCATCAACAGACGGCGCTAATAAAAAGCTGCCGAAGATGACTTTAAACTTTTCATGAATTGCGCGAGGTTATTCTCGCTATCATCGCGAGAGACTGATGGAAGGGAATTCCCAAGCGGAACAATGCGTGGATAAAAGAAGCACAGACAGAGAGAGGTGGTGTGAGCTCCGGTGTGGTGTGACCTCCAATATAATAATTGAACAGCGTGGATGAGACGAGTCTGTCTGGTCGTGTCAGATGGTTTAGAGATCATGATACACTCCGTCATCGCATCATTGATGACAATCTGCGATGATTTCCAGTCTATTTTTGTTTTACCAAGTAAGACCCACTGAGCTGTATAGCTCTTTTTCAGAAGCGACCTGGTTATCATAAATGATAGCTCAACGAAGTGGCTTATCATGCGGGAATGTATAGCAGCCAAATACTCTAAACGCGTGATGTTGATTCTAAATGTGGAGGGATAAAAAAAAACGGGAGGGCCCGGAGAAAAATCCACACGATCACTGGGAGAGAGACACCGCAAACTCCAAATATACAGCAGCAGGCGTCAGTGGTCAGGATCGAACCCACGACCTCCTGTGTACCAGGCGAGGTAGTTAACATCTCACCACCGCGGTACGCTCCAGTGACCTCGCACACGAAGGCCGTGACATGGCCCAGCCCGTTGGGGACGATCGCGATTCCGACTCCAAAGGCCGCCCTGGTTATTACTGGGGGCGTCATAACCGTGACAATACTAGGCGCTGTCTGCTTCACGGTGGACGTTAAAGATGCCCTGTGTGTATAACTACGTAGCCAACTGTACTTATGCCCTGACATTGGCAACGGTAGGCCATTGTGTGTCCCGGTGTCACGGTCAATAATTGGCAAATTTGGAATTTAAACCGTAAATAACTCTATTGCGATTATACATATAGCAATCATCGTCTCCAACTAGCAGCAGACTCATGTTCCAGGTCACTGATGCAAACGAGACTCATTCTGGTCTCGAGTTTTCACCTGGTTAACACAAAATTAACTTGAAAATTAAAAGTCCAGCACATATGGCATGTACCGATAGGTTAAACTGTGGTGCGTAACAATTATTTTCAACGACCATACATTGTAAGAGTCGTCCCACAATCATTTGCAATAACTTATTTGGTCAGACAGGTGAGTTGGCGATAGAGTGAGGATCTTTTACAACTCTAATGCCCGCACCTCCTGCTCCTCCTCGGAAGATCGGAGGTCGGCGGGGCAGGAGACGGACGCGGCCGGGGGTTGACGTCAAGAGGTAGGTCCCGGCAGCTACGAAGTCCTGGCATTAAGTTGACCGTCAACATCCGAACCCAGAGAGCCGGGATACGTTGCGATCGATACAGGTGACTCGGACAGTCACAACATCACAATCCCCCCCCCCCCCCCCTAAAAAAAAACTTCTAAATCGATTCTTGAGTCGAATCGCCGCCCCCCCCCCGCCCCGAGATTGCGACGATCGCCGCGCTCTCCTGCCGTCATCAGAAAAGCGTTCTCCAATAAGGCATTCGGAAGCACGCGGCGGCCGTCACGACCCTGTTCACTCTCGCACCGACACGCAGACAGGCAGCGGCCGAGTGTTGAAGAAAACTTTATTGCTGTTCAATGGGGGGGGGGGGGGGGGGGAACTATACAAATTGGGGGTTAACGGACAGAACGCAAACATAAACAATCAATGTATTATCCAACGTTTGTCTTTGGTCTTTTCCAAAGAAGCGGCACTGACGAATTGCGCGCACGCCAGGCCCATCGGAAGGCCTTTGGGCCGCGCTGCACGGCTGCCCCAGCCCACGAGAGCCCCCCACCCTGCACACCTCCCCGCTCTGCTCCCCGCACGGACCTCGCGTTGTTAATGGACGCGGTTGTTCAGCGTGATCACTAATCGCATGAAGATGTGGGGGGGGGATGGTGAAATCGGTTCGTCGCACACAAATATCGAAATGTTCGACGATAAAAACACATTCCAGGACTTGTTTACGTCGCGGACGTCACCACCTTGGGGGGGGCGGCTGCTGATGAGCCGTGCTGCTGGCACCGCCTGGAAGTTGGGGGACAAACCGCGTTCGTGGCCCCGCGCCGATCGGTCCGGCTAGAACTGAACCGGATATGGTTATAGATTCCGAAGACGAACGTCGAAGAACAAAGAAAACCACAATCGACGATGGAACAACCCCTTAACGCAGAATGGACACGAGCTGACACTCCCGACCCCACACCCCCCCGCCCCGCAAGTGCCGAGACAAAAGATAAAATGTCCAAGCTGAAACGGGACGCTTGGGAGAGTCGGGGCCGGCGGTCCGAACGTCCCGTGCACCACCTTCACCCTCACCGTGCGCCATCCTCACCGAAACGCCTCGATCCATCGCCTACTACGGGCACGGTGACACGACCCACCTCCGCTCGTTCGTTACCCGGCTCAACTCGAGACTGCCGCTTCAGTGTTCGGTGCTAGGCAAGGTACCCAAGGCACAGGTGCAAGGCGAAGCAACACGACGTTCGATTACGACGACGTGAAACACGCGGTGGTGGGGGGGGCGGCCCGGCACGGCACTCCTCCTCCACAACGCCACGCAGACGGCCTCGCTCTTGGAAGGCATTTTGACCTTTCGCTTACGCTGGCCGGAGGAGGTGGGCAAGGGAGGTGGACAAGACGATTGTACAAAAAGCAGCCGAATCAGTGACCCGACGAAGGCTCATCGCAGAGATAGCGTTGACCTGATCAACCTATGCGTCATTTACATCGATTCATGGGGGGGGGGGGGGGGGGGGGGGCACGTTGCACGCTCGTTGACGGCAACGGTTTTCGCGAATGCCGGTGACATCAGCGTCTCAACTCCGAGTGGGCCATCGCCAGGGGCGGCTTCGATCGAACACGGAATTGGGAGTCTGGTAAACGACGCACAGGAACAGTCCAACGCTCAAAACTCTGTCACCGTTAAACCTTTACATTGAGTCACTGTTACGCAGACAGCAAAAGTACAGCCGGTAACGAGACATAGGTCAAACGATTCGCGAGGACTTGGGAACGGGTTTTTCCGGGAGGCAAACTTCACCGTGCTTTGTTGCACGGGTCAACGGGCCACGGGACGGGACTCATACCGAAGGGTGGATGCCCCTCCCCGTTACAGCGGCACAGTTACGAGATGAGCCACTGCCACTTCTAAACCGCAGTGGCTGAACGAGCAACGTTGTTGTCATCGCCACCGCCGCGTTAAGGTTCACGTGCATGGACAGCTCACGCTCTGTGGCCAGAGTCGTCCATAGCGGTGCGCTAGGCCCGGAGCAAATCACACCGTGTGCCGCCACCCCCTCCCCCCCCCGACGGCTTGAAACTAAACCGGAAGTATTACATCTGACATCGTGCCGTCGATGCGCGGGCCTCACCCCCCCCCAAAGTACGGGGCCCGGGGCAGTCGCTCTCCGATTAGCCGTACCCTAGAGACGGCTCCGTCTGTGTCAACTGTTTGCCCGCGGGTCGGGGGAGCAGCCGTTTCCACACGCGACGGAGGTGCCCGCATATCAACAGCTCCTTAGAAGCCTGGACTGGTTGCAAGACTGACCTGCCTCGGCTTGCTAAAGAAAATTTAAGACATTCAGCATCAATAGGAATAAATTATAAAATTATTTACAACCTTGACTTTCATTAAATAGATGCACAATTTCTTAGACGGAAAAAAACGAACAATCTCTTTTAGTTTTAAACCAAATTTAGCATAAAGAGTTTGTACAGCCCTTGCATATGTGTGTTCGAGTTCAGAGCGTGTTTATCAGCATTGAGATATGTCTCTTAATCTGGAGCGAGCACGCACGCGCACGCCCAGACGGGCACTGTGCGCATCCGTCTGTGCGTATGTGCTTGAGTGCGTGCGCGCGCGCGTCCACTTTTTACATTGACTTCACAGCAAATAAACGATTACAGAGGGCACGCTGCCGTGGTGTGCGTTTCGCCCCGCCGCCTAAAACAGTTCCTGTTGCAGCGTCGCTCGGTTGCCCATGCCCCCTGCCGCCCTCTGCGTCGTCACGGCCACTTCGCCGGGGCTGGCGCTGCCCCGCAGCAGTACGAAGGGGGTGCTGCTGTTGTTGCTGCTCAGCGAAACGGGCTGCGGGGAGAACAGCGCCTTGCTGTAGCCCGGCACGGCCTTCCCGGCAGCGGACGGTTTCCCGGCACGGTGGTACACCGGCGAGCGAGCGCAGTCCCTGTACGCCGGTGACTCGCCGCAACCGGGCCCCTCGGCGTCCGAGTGCGGGCCGCACCTCTGCCCGTGCGGGCAGCCGCGCCGCTGCTCGTCGCTGTCCTGCCACACGTCGTCCGTCGAGCCGTCCGTCACGTCCTCGTCGTCGTCGTCGTAGCCGCGGAAGCCGTTGCCGTGGAAGCTGGAGGAGCAGTCCGTGGAGCCGTCGTCTCCGGGCTGCGAGTAGCACCCGCTGCTCGATGTCTCGCTCTCGTCGCGCGAGCACCGGTAGCGCGGCGTCTCGGCGTGGAACCGGGACGGGGCGCAGCCGTCGCCGCCGCCGCCGCTCAACTTCATGCCTGAAAAGCGGCTCTCGCTCAGTACGTAGTCGAGTTCCAGCGGGTCACTGTCACTGCTCGTCGATGCTACCGCCACCGCTGCCGCCATGCCTCTGTCGCCGGCGCCGCCCTGCCGTGACGACGTCAGTTCCGGGCGAGGGGAGTCGGTGTGGCGGCGGCGGTCCTGAGTCGCTCGCCACGTCACCCGGCCGAGCGTGGCGTGAGTCACCGGTGCCCGCACTGGCATGTCTCTCCGCGGCAGCTCCGGCGAGCTGGGAAGAGACCTACACGTCCGCAACGGCATTAGAGTGAAGTCCATGTCCAGCGGGCTATCCCACTCGTCCTCGTCCGCTTGCGGCCGCTGCTGCGTTTTCTGCGGAGTCGACTGCGGTTCCGGCTTCATGCCGTCCACGGCGTCTTTCATCGGCTGGTCGAACGCCAGGGGCGCTAGCGTCGGCCGAGTGGGCGTGTCGAAGAACTTGACGCGCCCGCCTTTGAGCTCCTTGCGCGACGAGAAGGGGTTCACCTTCCCGCTGTTGGCGCTGCCCGGCGTGTAGTAGGGGTCCATGACGCTCACCACCGCGCCCCCCCGCGTCTTGGAGTGCGGGGAGAAGACGTCCGAGTGGCTGCGGGAGAGCCGCGTGTCCAGGCGCGGCCGCGGGCTCTTCCACGCCGACTCGCCGTCGCCCGGCGGAGAGTTCAGCGGCTTGCTGCGCTTGCACCCTGGCCCCTTCTCCCGCACACCTGCGGGAACAATGCAGACGCAGAACGTTGGTACGCTGTGCATCGTCGTCATCGTCAGCTACGATAGATCCACCGTTGGATGAAGGCCTCCCCAAAGCTGTCGCCCACTCTCATGGTCTCGCGATGCAACTATCGATTTAACACCGTCACACGAGCATTAGCTTTGTTGAACCCGGCGATCATCCCCTTCTTGCGATGTGTCCTGCCCGAGTCCACTTTCATTACAGGGTGTTGGCTTGCGGGTGGGGGTGCAGGATGGGTGGTACCGTGGATTGGTGGTGATGAGTGGTAAACGGGTGGGGCTGCAGGATGGGTGGTGCTGATGGGTGGTGGTGAATTGCTGGGGGTGCAGGATGGGTGGTACTGATGGGTGGTGGGAAATTGCTGGGGGTGCAGGATGGGTGGTACTGTGGGTTGGTGGTGATGGGTGGTGGTGATGGGTGGTGGTGATAGGTGGTGGTGAATGGGTCGGGGTGCAGTATGGTAATATGGGTTGGTAGTTGGTGGTGTTGTGTGGTGGCGATTGAGGTGGATTGCCAGAATGGGCGGTGATGTGGGTGGCTGGTTGTTGGTAAAGCGTGGGCGACTCCCACCCCTATCGGCACGTCTGGCCAGCGTTGAAGAGTAGACCAAACTACCCTTTAAATGTGGGCGTAGTTGCGGCTGCTGCCTCGGGCGTGAGGCCGAGTCGTACCTGGCTGCCACACGGCCTCAGTGCTGCCCCCCTGGCTGGACGGGGACCCGGTCTCTGTCCTCTCCACCTCAGTGATCCTGCTCATCTCCTCCAGCGCCCGCTCCACCTCCTCGAAGTTCGGCCGCAGCTTGGGGTCCATCTGTGAGCGAGGCGCCAGGCAAGATGACGACGCCCAATGGGGGGGGGGGGGTGGTGAAGGAAATGTTAAGAGTCGCGAGCTACAAGAGGAGTGAACGGTGATGCGAAGGTGCACTTCGAGGCGTTGGTTTGAAGCAGTCTTTTTCAGTTCTCGTTTTATAAAATGTCAGTGTGGGTGAAAATAGAACAGATGTCTTGTTGGGTTTTGCAAAGTGCCTATGACCAGAAACCCATCAGATCTCGTCGCATCTTGCAAGCTAAGCTGGTTTCAGCCTGGATCGTACTTGAATGTGTGACTAACATTAATAAAACATTGTAGGCTGTGTTTACACAGCAGGAGTGTGGCAAATTTCATTTTTGTATTGTGCTACGCTGCGACTGCTCTGTTTACCACCATCAACGACCGCACTTATCGGCATGGTAGAGTAGGTCCTACTCACCCATTCACACACCCGTCCACTCATCACTTTGGAATTCCCCACCAACATGTTGTTTTCCCAAGTCCTTAAGATAATAAAAACCTTACTCAATTTTGCAACAAACGTGTCAACTCTTATCCACCACCGCTTTTGTCAGCGCCGTTTGTTGCTGGCCGCTCAACATTTTGGGCCTTCGGGCCTGCGCTCAGCAAGAACGTAAACGCCCCCAACCCCCGCCCACCCCAATAAGACGGCACCGCAATGCAGACTCGGCAGGCCCTGCCAGGAATGCGTCACAGTTGCCAGTAGCGCGTGCAAACACTGGGCGGCCGGGGGCCGATCCTCGTGACAAGGAGGCACCTGGGTGGGACAGGGTAACGCCGGCTTGCGATTTCACCCATGCACCCGCCCGCCTGCCCACGCGTCTGTGTGCCCACCCGCTCGCCCGCCTGTGACCAGAAGCCTCCCGACCGCCACAGACAACAGCGGCAGCTACGGCGGCGGCCTCCCACGTGTTCCGTATTATATTTCGCCGTCCTCTTTGCGAACGGATACTCCCGGCTCGAACAGATGTCGGGGTGATTTGTGCAATAAACGGGGGGGGGGCGCGCGCTTTCACTCCTCGCTTTGATGTTTCGCGTCAAGATTTTGAAAGGTGGGTCAGACGCAGACGACGCCCCGTGCTGACGCGCAACAGGGACCGCCAGGAGGAAACGGCCCGATTTTTTTTTTACTTACTACAAGGAGGCCACTCAAGAAGAAGGGCGGGGAGTGAGATCCATTTCGGCCCAGCGCAAGGGGCCGGCAGGAATAAAAGATTCAAATGATGCTCATTTGGCGCGATGTCCGACGTTTCGCCCCTCATATGCTGGGAGCTACTTCAAATAAGGGAATGAATGAATATGGTTTTCTGAAATTTTGGTTTGCGATGGCTTTTTCTGAAGAAGTTCCCAGACACGTGCATCGAAACATCAAAAGACATCTTGGCAAGCAAAACGCGGCACAACACGAAAACAAGTCGCAGAGCCGCATGCTCGTCCACTGTTCTTTGTTCTCTCGATATTTTAGCGTGACACGTGCGCTGCCGCGGCAGTCACGGACGTGCGATCGCGGGCCGCCGTGACCTACTCGACGGCCGCCACCTTGCGGGGAGCGGCGCGTGGGAGCTGCACGTGCAAAGGTGCGCGGCTACTCACATTACAGCAGTTGAAGGCGAGCTGCAGGAAATCGGAGGGGCAGTCCCCGACCATGTGCTGGAAAGTCTCGTAATCCAGGCCAAAATTCTGCAGAAAAACGACACAAACAAAAATAAAGAGAAGCGCACTAATTGTCGGCTTGTTCGGCACGTCGTGGCAACGCTTTCGGCGAAAACAAGGAGGTTGACCGCGGGGGGGTGGGGGGCGGGGGAAGGGGCAGGTGCCGCGCGCCGTTAAGAGGCGCGTAGGCGCCACTAGAGCGCTCGGCTAGCTGGTTCCAGGAGTGCCGGAGGAAGTGGTTTGAAAGCCGCGAGCGAGCGAGATTGATCCGGCCCGTATGCTCGTCGAGCCTGCGCCCAGGGAGAACGTGTGGCCAAATGTTGCAACTTGCCCGAAACCACAGCGCGTGTGTTGCGACAACGCACGCGGTTGATAAGCCAACGATAAAGGTGCGTGTGTGAACCAGAGTTGTAATGTCACGGGGCCTCTTCTCAAATACAAAAAAGGGTTTACAGTGACCTCGACGTTGTGAGCGTCATGGAGAAGAACTGGACCAAATGCTAGATGGGGTTTGTCAAAATCGTGGAGCGTGCACACACACACATGCCCCACGATGGATCGACATTTGTTCCGTCTGGTGGATCGACATTCAGAGCAGGGAATATGAAGGAATGTATATTTACATTCAGAAACAAACCGTATGTATCTTTTCATTTCATTTACAGCCCATTGCCAAAACACTGTTGGACGAAGGCCTCCCCAAATCCGTGTTGATCATAGGGGTTGTGTGACCATACTTCACCACATACCGATCGGTGCAGGCTGGTTAAGGAGGGGGTGGGGGGATGGGTGGGACAGGGGAGACCCAGACATCACCCACCACTTACGGAGGTCACTGGCCAATGAGGTTCTCCTGCTCTCCAAGAGGTTTCACAGTGGTTACACAAAACAGACTTGTTAGCCATGGCCAGGGAATCGGGCTCGGGTGGCTGCGTTCAGGCCTCAGTTCGGGCCAACGCCTGCGCCACCACTCCACCCCACGCATCTCGTGTACGGCGAACACGAGCTCAATTACAGATCCGCTCAATAGTCCGCGCATTAAACGACGAGCTGCCATTATGTCCGATATGATATTACGGCCGTGAAAATGAGCGGTCATTAACGTTTAACATGCCACTGCGACCGAGAGCTCGACGCGCATGAAATTAGAAAAGTCCAGCGAAGCCGATAAAAGTGTAATTGCCCTAATTAAAATGAAAAGTGACGAACGCATTTAAGCGGCAAACTGTTCGACAGTGGACAGGGTTGGTTGCGACGCTTCTCGTTTGAGAGCCCCCCCCCGTGAAAAACAAACTCTAATTACCTCTGCCACTTTCCCCAGGGAGTCCATAAATTATTAGCATTAAGCAAAGTCTGACACGTGAGCGCTGCGACCTTGCGTCACTATCACAAACCCCCAGGCCTCTCCGACGTGTTTTCAAGACCACTCGTAAAAAAAAACCGAGCTCTACAGCACAAGCTACGCACTTCTATTTACCATGGTTCTCCTTTACCATGCCATGGTGGTGCAATGGCTAATACACTGTACTTGCAATCCACAGCCCGCCGGGTCGATTCACGTGATACCACGGGGCAAGTTTTTCTTTTTATTCCCTGGCATCTGCCTCTGTCCACCCAGCAGCAGTGTGAATGGGTCAACCACAGTTAGTCGATAGGCAAGGCTGGCCAGTGTGGAAGACTACGCCTAAATTCCTTCTAAAGGGGCTCCCGAGAGCTCCGTCGACAAGTGAAAGGCCGTTCTTTTAGCAGGAGCGCGAGTAAAAGCGATTGCGGCGCAGCTCCTTTACCCATCACCACAAATAACTCTGGCGCTCAGCTGGGCTACGTTAAGAACGGCCCGGGCCGGCTGCGATTGTGCAACGCAAACAACCCGAGCCAACGCGACGGGGCAGAGCGGCGTTACCACTCAACACACACGCGGAGCCCGGAGCCGCGGTCGAGTCGGCACAGGAGCCGCCCCCGGCAGGAGGTCCGCGCCGCGGCCAAAACCCGCCACTCGCAGCGCTCCGTAGATTTTTAGAAAACATCTCAAGTCATGGCCGGAGATCAAAGGGAGGGGCGGGCGGTCTCGAGGGCCTGGCCTCTGACAAAATGCGGTGCGGTGGTGGTGGCTGGCGGCGGCAACGGCTTAGTGGGAGGAGCGCTGGAGTGGACACAGCGTGGGTCCTTGTCATTGGGGCCCAAGTAGATCCATCACTCCAGGGGGAAGGGCAGGAGGGAGATGTGCCAGGGCCCCCCTCTGGTAACCTTGGGTTCATCTTGGTGGGGGTTGGGGGGGGAACAATGGTACCATTGTGCACTCTTGAAACACCCGGGGGCGGTGGTGTTGTTGGCTCGACCACTATTTACATATCGGAATATCGGTGGTATCTGGAAAAGCATTTCCAAAATCTGTATCGTGAAGAGAATAATTTATTTTTACACGGTGAGCCAGACGAAATTGAAAGACGAAGCTTATCTTGCATCCAGATTCTATCCGTACTGCTTTTGTGTAAACTGGTGACGAAAAATGTAAACACCCAGAGCTGGCATTGGGACATCTATTATCAGAAACAATCACCCTCAGTTTTCCAAAGCAAATTGACAACCCACTGCAAAAGCCGAGTTTAAAAAACAATCCCCACACCCCACCACCACTTGGGAAAATCCGATTGCACAGTTCCCCAGGCAGCTTTCCGAAATGCCGTCGTTTTAGAATACAAAATAAACGGTAAACATCCCGATTTAAAGCTTTCGTGACTGCAGGGATTCATCCTCTTGGTTCTTTCGGTAAAGTCACGTAGAAGGGAAGTAATAACATTCAGACGCTGTCGCCTCGACAGACCTGGTTTTCACATGAGGACGGCTGCTTGCGTTGTGGCCGAAACGTCGTGAGAATTATTTTATTATGTTTTGTTTTTATTATTTTATTTCTTCCCTTCTACGTGACTTTACCGAAAGAACCAAGAAGAAGGTAAACATCCCGTGCACGTCGGGAATTGGGCAAGAATAAAAAGCGCGCGCACGGACTCGTGGTCAAAACTCCCGTGCAATGGTCCTCGCCGTTGAACCATCACGAGGAAACTATCCCACGCGCCACGAGCGCTCCGCTCTACTCCGCCGTTGCGCATTCATAAACGAGAAGCAGATGGATGCCGAGCGGGCTTGCTTCCCGTTTTTCCGCGCCGCTAGAAACGCAAACCCCCGACGTAACGCGGCGGTGACGGCGGCACGGGTCCTCCCGTCTCAAGGGCGACGCGCTGATAGGACCCAGGAGCCGCGTATCGTCCGTGCCCGGCCGCTGAAGGGTGGCTCCCGGGTCATATCAGCGCCAGACGCCCCGTGGCTCTCCGTTTTTGTCTGCGCAAGAAACGCATTGCTCCTGGTCACGGATGAGCTTAACTACTACACACACGCGGCGCGGGCAACGCCTGCCCGCCAACAACCCCCACACCCGCTCACCCCAGCCCCGTGAATACAGTATCTCGTGAGATCACACGGCTTGCCCCGTGATGGAGGCGTGCGTGTTTTGCACTGTACCGGTGGTGGTGCTGTTTTAAATTCAACTCGCCCTTATTTGGAATAATGGCAAGGCCTGTGCCAGACAGCCAACCGAGACTTCACAGCAATGCCATATAAAGCCCTATAATTTTTAAAAAATATATATAAAACCTTCTCTTGTTCTTACTACATTGGGCAAACTGAAGCCCAGAGTCTATATTGTTCAACACGTTCGTTTTAAAATGCCATATAAAGCCCTATAAATTATTATTTTTTATAAATATAAATCTTCTCTTGTTCTTACTACATTGGGCAAGCTGAAGCCCAGAGTCTATATTGTTCAACGCGTGCGTTTAAAAATGTTGCTCGTCAGCAGCGCTGGAGTGACTTCTGCTGCTGCTTGATCTGATAAAGGCATCACGCTGCAATCACGCCAGCGACACCCAGGCTGAATGTCAAAGCAAGTTGTGTCGCACCGTCCGCCTGCTGCAGTTCCATCACCCGCCTGACTCACTGCCAGCGTCTCCAGCCGACCTGCTGAAACCGGTACCAAGGGCTGCCCGTGCCAGATCGGAGAGGATGCACGAACTCAACTCCGTAACGCAGACGCCCACACGCGCTCGATTGCTCGCGCTGCCGCAAACACTTGCCAAGTCGCAGCCAATTCCCCCATGCAACTCCGACACGCTTTTCATCCGTCGGGCTGTTTTCTTTTCTTCCGAGCGGCGCGAACGAGCGCTTTCAACGCGGCGAACCCGCACAGCGAGCCCACACGCACGCAAAAATCACGTTCTCTGTCAAACCGTCGCCCTCCGGCGCAGGAGGGGAGCCTCCTCGGGGAGCATGGATGCCTGCGGACTTGAACTCAGACCATCCCCCTACTCCCGCCGCTGTTTTCGCGGCAGCACGTACGACCCGTCGGCCGTGCCATTCTCTCGGCGCGCCAACGTCTCACTCCTAATTGAGTTAAACGCGCCGTTTCAAGTGTCAAGTCGGCCGTGGCTCTGCGTAAGCCATGGAGGAAACGTCCGCACGCTAGCCCTGATCCCGTTGCAGCCGTCGAACGGCTGCACGCGCCCAGAGTCTCGCCTCCTCCGGCGGTTCGCGGTTCGCGGGTGACCTTTGATGCGCTCGAAAAACATAACTTGTTGGACGTACGAATGTGTTCGTTTGCGGACGCCCGCTTTCGGTTCGCGCAAGGGGAGCAGCTTCGCGGTGCGGTGCGCGTCATCGTCGTGCGTGCAGCCATCTCTCTTGCGGCACGTAGCTCGCTCTCCTCAAACGCAGTTGTTTTTTAGCCTTTTGTTTATTTGCTTTCCTGCCCTAAGTCATTTGCATTTCATTGCTTTTTGCCACTTTGGTCACTATTCCAAATGAGACTCATTCTGGTCTCTAGAAGCTCTCACCTGGTTCAAAATGAACTCCAACCTGAACTTTCTCTCGTTATCCCTGGCCGCCAGCTTCTCCCAGCGAGAGAACCTCGTGGGTGGAGCAGGTGGAGGCCGAGGGGGCGGTCGGAGGCCTCTTGACTGTGTCAGATCGACCGC